TGATACATAGCTGAGACCCATGATGTGTGTCCATCAAGCTTTCTTTACAGACAGCCTATGAGCCCCACTTTTCCAGTTACCATCATAACACATCATTTTACCTTGACATGTGGTTTAAATAGGTTAAAAATTTTGAGTTTTAGAATTGCTGGTCTCCATGTGGTATCAAACCCAAACCAAACCAAAACCCACAACTCACCACCCCCACACACACTCAGGTACCAGATCAGCTTCACACGCAATTCAGATTTTGAGTGAAGTCTCTAGAAGGTATGCATGGAGTCTGTTGAAGATGGGCTGGAATTGATGGTCATCCAGCTTCAGCCCAGAGCCCAAATCGTCTACCACCAAGGTCATTGCCTCCCAGCCCTGAGCCACAGCTCACATCAGCCCCAGCTCCTCCGCTCATGTCTCCCCTAACATTGGCCAAGTTCCCTATTATGTAGAATTCCATTGTTAGCCCATGATATTGACCAGCGTGACAAAACTTCAGGAGCTTGGGAGGCTGGGAACAGAGTTTGAGTATATGCCATATGCATCATTTGGTCTTCCCTTCTGCGTTTACGGACATTGAACGTGTGGGCCTGGGCGGTAAAATGCTCTCCTCTGATGACAGAGGGAGGATGGAGGACGGAGCCTTAGACTTCAGTTCAGAAGGCCAGGAGACACGGGCAGTGTCGGTAAGTCCTCTTTCTACCTTGCTACTCATAGGCGAGATCAGATGAGGCAGGTGTAAGGTTGTGTATCTCCAGTCATCCATGTCTCAATATTAGTTCATGAGTTCATAAAGAGAGTTGGATATCCTAGGGTGGTCAGTTCTTTTCCCCAAACACCTGAGATGTCTACCAGGTGGGTACTGGGAGATCCTGCTCTGTGAAAGAGGAGTAAGTTTGGCCTGCCCCCCGCGCTCTGCTAGCCTGCTGTGTTAGTTGGAGAAACTGGCTTCCACAGACTAAGGGAGGACCACTGTAGCCTCTCTCCTGTATTGTTGTAAAAAGTAAGTGAAATACAGCCTCGCAGGTCCCTGGAATATTGTCTGGTGTCGGCAAGCCTAAAGCTGTGGTGCAATTAATGCAAGAGACAGAGAAATAACATTCGCACTCGTGATGTGAGTGGCTAATTGGGACACCAATGGTGCCATGGGAGTGGGAGGGTTCCTCTTCACTCTGGGGGAGGCCACTGCTTTCCTGGAAGAAGTGACTCAATTGTTACCCACTGAGGAAAGACAGGAAAGCCCAAGGTGAGAAAGGCCCAAAGCAAAGGCCCAGAGGTGAAGCAGTATTTCTAGAAGGGCCAGCTGCTAATATAATCTAGTGCTGGGAGGGAGAGGGGCCTGTGGGCTACATTACTTGTCATCCCCAGGAGTCTGGTCTGTCCCCAAAGGCTGTGGGGAGCCAAGAAGTGGAAGAGCAGGGACCCCAACTCATTTTATGATGATAATTAATGCAGGTCTTTGTCTAGTTGGGGACACAACTGTATGTGAGTGGCTAGATAGGATGCAGCTGTTGCAGGTGAGAACTTTATGGAGTCAATGGACTTGTAGATACAAATGTGGATGGAGGGGGCAGGTGCCATAGTGATGCAATCCAGCCAGCGGGGAATGGCTGGGCAACCTGGAGAATTCACACCCTGTGTTGTGGCTTGGCCATAGCTTCAGCCGGAACGTCTTTTTCAGTACCCTGGGGAACAGGTTTGCAAGGAACAGCTCTTCTTTTTCTTCTTCTGTTTATTGTATCCTATTTGGAGGGATAATCTCATGGAGAATAGCATTCACATTTCCCCCAGTGCGTTAAGTATGTCATTCCATCACCCTTGGTTTGCATTGCTTTAGATAAAAGTCGGCTGTTAATCCTATAGACACAGGATGTGTGCAGTATGCATTTTTCACAGCTGCTTTAAGAGTATTCTTTCCTTTTAGTTACTGAGGACTGAACCCAAGGCCTGCTAGGCAAGTGCTCTATCATGTAACTTATGCTTTTAGCCCTTTGGTTTTTATTTTGTTTTTGAGACAGGATCTCACCCCTGCCTTTGCCCAGGCTGGTCCAACATGAGATACTTCTGTCTGTGTCCTGAGTAGCTGGGTTTTCAGACACACACATCATGCCTGGCTGTAAGTTTTCTTGATCACTGGCTTTCAACAGTTTGGTCACACTGTGCCTTGGAATGGTTTTCTTTGCATTTTCTTCCTTGAAGCTATTTGAGTTTCTAGGATTTGTCTGTTTATATCTTTCATCAAGGTTCAGAGACTGACCAATGTTTCTTTAGATACTTTTTCTCTTTTTCCTTCTGGTCCTCTAATGGCAGGTATGTGAGACAGTCTGACACTACCTCAGAAGTCACTGAAATTCTGTTCATTTTTTTCCCTGCTCCTTTTTTTCCTGTGTGCTTTAGTTGGGATAGTTTGTACTGTGCCAGCTTCAAGTCAAGTGGACATTGCTCCTGTAGTATCTGTTATTCAGCATTGGATCTGAAGCCATATACTGAATTTTCATTTTACATTTCTTTTTATTTATAGGATTTTTCTTTAGTTAACTTTTACTTTCCATTTGTCTCTTGAGATTCATTTTTGTTTGAAAAAAATGTTTCAACATTTTTGTACCTTTTCTTTCCTTATTTCCTCTTTATCCTTCCCCCTTCTTCTTCCTTCCATCCCTTCCTCCCTTTCTCCCTTTCTCCCTTTCTCCCTTTCTCCCTTTCTCCTTCCTTCCTTCCTTCCTTCTTTCCTTCCTAGACAGTGGCCTTAAACTTGTAATCTTCCTTCATCAGACTCGCATGTGCTGGAACCATGGGCCATTTGTACCACCATATGTGGTGGTTTTATGCTACTTCTGAACTTCTGATCTTTGTGATAGATGTTGAGTACTTTCCTTTCTTCCTCAAGTGTCTGTGAAACTTTGGTTCGTGAGTTATATATCAGAGATGCCATGTTGTGCACCTAGGTTTTGTTGGCTTCCTTAGTAAGGTGTTGGGCTTTGTTCACTCAGGTTGAACTCTGTCCCCTCAAATGCCTATGTTGAAGTCCCATCTTCAGATCCTCAGAATGTGACTTGATTTGGAAATAGGGCCTTAGGAGGAGTGGTTATGATAAAATGTGGCCAAGGGTGAACTTTGTTCCAATCTGAACGAAAGGTGTCTTTGTAAGACAAGAGGCCAGTCACTTGCACACCCAGAGAGAGAGAGAGAGAGGGACAGCCCTGCCAGGACATAGGAGAACATGCCACCCTCAGGTTAGGGACTGACCTCAGAAGGATCCAGTCCTGCAGTACCTCCGTCTTGGGCTTCTGGCCTCCTGTGATTGAAACCCCTAGTCTTTGATGTTGTCATGGTAACCTTAGCAATCTAATTTAGGCAGTCACTATGCTTTCATATTAACTTGGTTCTTCCAGACCTTGCTTTCAAGATTTGCTAAGTGGCTCTGAGGACATTTGCTCGGGGATAGACTGGCATACTTGTTCAGCATGTCCTTGTGTCTCTACCAAATGCTGTGGGTACTCAACAGGCATTCTCCCTTCATGCTGCTCAGAGCCTGTGAGATCTCAGCCTGCACAGCTGTTTTCCCTAACCCTGAGGGCCCTGGTAGATGAGTGTTTGTCTGAGGATACCAATTCACATTTTAGGGATCCCTTTTCTTCCTTATCTTATCTTGAAATTCCAACTGCCATGTTGGATCCCAGGTCTGCCCCTTTTTCCTCACCCCAGTGAGCTACGCTCTGCATGGTCTCCTGCTTTCCAGACAAGGAAGAGGGTAGTGTTGGGTAGTGTTGGGACCCATCTTTTTGCTCCCCTTCCCCTGGGGATGGCTATCCAGCTCTGCTGTCATTCTGTGTCTACCATCCTCTGGTGATACATTTTAGGGTCAAATGGGAGGCAGAGAGGAGGTGAGAATACAGGAGGGAATGGGACCTCATGGCACTTGTGGTTTTATAACTAAGAGAGATGGAGATATGGGACGGAGAAAGGGAAACTTCCAGAGTCAAGAATGGATTCTGTGAAACCATTTAAAGATAAAATGAAAAATAGAACAGATTCCTCTTGCTCCCTGGATGAATGATAGGCGCAGTCTACAGGGGTTCAGCTCAAAAGCTGGAACCTGCAAGAGGGAAACTAGAACCTACAAAAGGGAGCAGCTGCTTTCTATACCCAAGGCAGGGCTCGCTCTTAGACCAAGGTTTTTGGTTTCCAGTGTCTTACAGATCACTCACTGGCTTCCTGGCTCATTGTCCACAGATTGGCAGCCTCCTGTGTTTTCTCCAGGGCTGAGAAACTGTGTGTCCCTCTCTCCTGACCCACTTGCATGCTTTCCTCTCTTCCTTCTGCAGAGTCATCCCGTGGCTGTCCTTCTCCTTGTCCAGCCCCACGGATTCCTTCTCTGGGACGTCTCACCCCTCAGTGTGGGCTGGGGACCTGGTGCTGTCCTCTAGGAGTCCTCTGGAGGGCAGCTTGGCCTGCTCATGGGCTTGTGGCAATGACCTTATTGAACTTGTCTGTCCTAGGCTGCTCCTTGTACCTGGTCAGCTGCCCCAGGGCTGGGATAGGTCCAAGGAACAGGTGGGGGCTGCTGATGGGGCAGCCATGCAGGTATCTCCTGATTTTCTGTGGGATTCTCCCATAATGCAGCAGGGTCCTCCTCTAGGCTGTCCTCTGCGCCACACCTGGTCCCGATATTTTACAAAGTTCCTGTGGTCACTACATACTTTATCTGGAACCTCGCATGGTTAATCCCTTCCTGGGTGTGACACATGTGTGCCCAGCTCCAGAGGCACACATGGCTTGTCTTCCACGTCAGCAGCCTGGCAAGATGCAGCTTCCCGCCCAGGGCAGGGGGCCTGGCCTGGAAACCTTCCCTGTACAGGGCATGGCTTCCTCTTCTCCTTTTTCAAAGGATCTGAAGGGCTGGGGCCATGGGTGACGGGTGGAGGTTATCAACACGTCCTGAGCAAACAGACGGGAGATGATAAAACCCCTGGCGGTGGGAACCAGGCATGCTGCAGATTGCCCAGGGCGCAGTGTAGCAGACATGGTCTCTCGTGGTGTCCCGTTCCTGGTCATGGTGGTCATTCTGGGTCTGTGCACCCTGGTGGAATGCCAGAAGCCTTGTAAGTGACGGCCCTGGGGGAGCTGCATATAAGGAACTTTCTTGCTCTAGTCCCTGGCAGGAAAGGAATCGATTGCCAGTTGGCTTGAGAGGTGCCCTGAGGTCTGGGGTCTGGCCTATGCTGCTCACCTGGGGTTCTCCTAGTCCCACTGATTTTCTCCCAGAAAGGCTGATGCCCCTGGGCTGGCCAGGGTGAGGAGAGTCAGCAGGCCGGCTCCACCCTGGTCATCCTGCCCACTGCCCACTTTGATTTCTGCCTACGTCTACCCAGTGAACCTTTTTACAGGATTTATTGTTGAATCTTTTTAATTCATCAAACAGTTTCCACCAAGTCCTGTGGGATTCCTGGGGGGAACCAGCTCAAAGGGGAGCCAGATCAGCCTGGGTGCTCTGGGCAGCCGTGGAGCAATGGAGAGCTCAGGAAGTCCCTTAATAGATTTTGTTTTGGGGGAAGGCCGATGCCCTGGGAGGTGGAGGGTGCTGACCTTGCATCTGCCCGCAGCCCCCTGCCAGTGCTCGAGGCTGAGCCCCCACAACAGGAAGAACTGTGGCTATCCTGGGATCACCAGTGAACAGTGCTTCGCACAAGGCTGCTGCTTCAACTCCAGCGTTCCCGGGGTGCCCTGGTGCTTTGAACCTCTGCCGATGCAAGGTAATCTGCAGAGGGCAAGGCCAGGATTTGGCCTCTGGACAGGCAGACTCCAGAGCAGGTGCACAGAGGCTTGGCTGTTAGTCCAGAGCCAGCCCATGCTGCTTTGGCCAGCTGCTTTGTCATACTGGTCAGTTCAGAGCTAGCCCACACTGGTCAGTTCAGAGCTAGACCACACTGGTTAGTTCAAGACTAGCTCACACTGGTCAGTTCAGAGCTAGACCACACTGGTCAGTTCAGAGCTAACCCACACTGGTCAGTTCAGAGCTAGACCACACTGGTCAGTTCAGAGCTAGACCACACTGGTCAGTTCAGAGCTAACCCACACTGGTTAGTTCAGAGCTAACCCACACTGGTCAGTTCAGAGCTAGACCACACTGGTCAGTTCAGAGCTAGACCACACTGGTCAGTTCAGAGCTAACCCACACTGGTCAGTTCAGAGCTAGACCACAATGGTCAGTTCAGAGCTAGACCACACTGGTTAGTTCAGAGCTAGCCCACACTGGTCAGTTCAGAGCTAGTCCACACTGGTCAGTTCAGAGCTAGACCACACTGGTCAGTTCAGAACTAGCTTACACTGGTCAGTTCAGAGCTAGCCCACACTGGTCAGTTCAGAGCTAGCCCACACTGGTCAGTTCAGAGCTAGACCACACTGGTCAGTTCAGAGCTAGGTCACACTGGTCAGTTCAGAGCCAGCCCATGCTGCTCTGTCCAGAGCTAGCCCACACTGTTTAGTTCAGAGCTAGCCCATACTGTTTAGTTCAGAGCTAGCCCACACTGGTCAGTTCAGAGCCAGCCCACACTGGTTAGTTCAGAGCTAGCCCACACTGGTTAGTTCAGAGCCAGCCCATGCTGCTCTGTCCAGAGTTAGCCCACATTGGTTAGTTCAGAGCTAGACCACACTGGTCAGTTCAGAACTAGCCCACACTGGTTTCTTCAGAGCTAGTCCACACTGGTTAGTTCAGAGCTAGCCCACACTGGTTAGTTCAGAGCTAGCCCACACTGGTCAGTTCAGAGCTAGTCCATGCTTCTCAGTCCAGAGCTAGCTTACACTTGGTTAGTCAGAGCTGGCCCACACTACTTAGTCCAGACCTAGTTCACATTGCTTAGCTCAGAGCTAGCCCATGCTGGTCAGTCCAGGGCTAACCTGTGTGGATTTCTCTAGAGCCAGCTCACAACACTGCTCAGTCTGGAGCTGGCCACCATGCTGGTTAGTCTGGAACTAGTCCAGGTCAACCTAAAAGGAGCTCCAAATGCCTCAGTGACCTCACGCTCTCTCAGCAGAGGTGTGTAAGCATATCATCAGCAGAGGCATGAGTGAACATAACAACAGATGTGTGTGACCTCACGCTCGCTCAGCAGAGGTGTGTAAGCATATCATCAGCAGAGGCATGAGTGAACATAACAACAGATGTGTGTGAACTTATCAGATTTGCATCATCTGGACCACAAACATCTCAGAGTCCTTCTGGCTTGAACCATGAGTTCCAAAGAAGCTTCCAGGGGGTGAAAGCATTCAACGTAGTATTGGTCGTGTCCTGGCTCACAGGCTTCAAAGGTTAAGGAGGACGTTTGAGATTTCTAGGAACCTTCTGGAATTAGCTTCAAGCCATTGCTTATTGTCAAGAGACCAGCTTTTCATGCCAGGTCCCGTGTGTGTGTGTGTGTGTGTGTGTGTGTGTGTGTGTGTGTGTGTAGCCCCCCATGCCATGGCCCGCGTGTGTATTTGAGTGCCCCTGTGTGTATTTAGAGCCCCCCTTCCCTCACCGTGGGCTTCGATGCTCACCTGCCTTCACAGTAAACACTTTATTTCCCTGGGAAACCGGTGGCTGTGAGCAGAGCCCTCGCTCAGGCCATAGAAGGCCCTAGAGTGGGTCACCCCGTTTCAAAGCAGGACACTGAGTCCAGAGAGGGTAGAGTGACCCTCCCACGGTGCTGCCCCAGCCCTTCTGACTTGTGATGGTCACTGCACCCTGCGTCACTCCTGCAGTGGCGAGGGACAGTCCCTGGACGTCACAATCCTGAGAGACGCCCCTCCAGGCAGCTCCTCGGGGTATACCAGTTGTCCCCTGACGGAGCCTTGTGCTGTCTGTTGCTTCTGGTGAGCAGAGATGGAGCAGTGTGTCATGGAGGTCTCGGAGCGCAAGAACTGTGGCTTCCCAGGCATCAGCCCTGAGGAGTGCGCCTTTCTCCACTGTTGCTTCTCCAACACCATCCCGCAGGTGCCCTGGTGCTTCTTCCCAAAGCCTGTGACAGGTACTGTGGCTGTGGGGGCAGGGCAGGGGTGCCAGCCGCCCCAACACCTCAGCCCCTCTGAGCTGGGCCCTGAGTCCAGGAAGGGAGATGCACGCATGCCCGCTGCCGGGCCTCCAAGCCCCCCAGAAGTCCATTCCTGAGTGCTCTGGAGCGGGGCGTCCCTGTCGATGGTGGTGGTGTATCTACTGCAGCTGTGCCATGCTGTGTGCTGGGCACGGGGGGGGGGAGGGGGGAGGAGGAGGGGAGCTGCCGCCTCCCCTCAGGGCATCACACCTGTGTGGCGCCGGTCCCAAGGGTGCCATCTCCACACGCGTCCCCACCCCCCGAGACCCCCCGAGACACAGGCAGACGGTGGGCACGGAGGGCTTTGTGGCCTTCCTTCCACTCGCAGGGACCTTCCTCCGGGCGTACCTGGCTTGCTCCTCACCATTCTCGTGATGACTGCGATTCACATGATGAGAGTGGACGCGGCTGCGGGAGACGCCCCCAGGGTTCTTGACCCACCTGCAGCTGCCTCGGGAGACCAGGGCAAATGGTTTCCAGGGCTCTCCCCTCTCCTGTGCGGCTCCTCCAGGCAGAGCAACCTCTGTGCTCCCCAGAGCACTGCCTTTCACTCTCAGAACCTTCTAGTGGTTGCTGTGCTACTTAAGGGTCCCCTGAGAAGCTGCCCAACAGTGTGGGGAGGACAGCCCCCCAAGAATGCCCTGGCACAAGGGCTGCCCCCCTCGGGAGGAGGCTCCTGAGCACACACACGTGAGCGCAGCCCACGCTGGCGTTTGTGACGCGCTAACCGGTATCTGCCTTCCCTCTAGACTGTCACTACTGAGAGGTGCCGGCCACAGGGACCCCCTCGCTCACCACCTGCTTGCAAACCAAGGGAGAAAGTTCCAGATGTGATTGGCTGCAGAGTTCATCCACCCCTGGCTTCTCTCTGTCTTCTGATCTGCTTCAGCGGTTGGACAAATACTTTTAATTAAAGAAAATCCTTAGACCTTCTAGAATGTGTCCATTTTCATAGTCACAGAGGTGGCCTGTGCCACGTGAGTGTGTGCAACTAGGTCTATGAGTGTGTGCACACACGTGTGGGGGGGCGCACCTGGGCGTGCATGTGTGCAGGTGTGTATATGCATGTGTGGGCATTATGCATGTGCTCGTGCAAGCTGGGGGCTTTTGAAATACCCAGGGGACTTGGGCCCCAAAGCTCTCTAGCAAGAGCGCTTGCTGGACCCTGACGAATGCAGCCTCTGTTCTGCCCCTTGGGTTTGAGCCGGGTCCCTGGCGGCCGATCGCCCGTTCTTTCTGATGGGAGCGGCAGGGGCAAGGCGAGGCAGCTACTCTCCCCCCTGACTTCCTGCTTTCCCCCTCACACGGGAGCAGCCTCCGTCACACACGTCGGGTCGCTGGTGTTGGAGGAAGTCCAGCGTGCCCCAGTGCTGCTGCCATTCCAGCGCTTCCTGCCCGGCCTGCTGTCGGGGTGCGGGGCCGGGCCGGGGCTGGGACAGAGGGGCGGGGCCAGGCCAGGCTCTGCAGCTGTCCCCTCTGCCCTCCAGGTCACCATCGTAGAGCATCACCATCTCAGTCATCCCTGGTACCTTAGAAAAAAATCTGGGGACCCCCCCTGCAATCTCTGCCTTCCAGAGTGGTACAAGGCCTCACCCCGCTGTGCCCTGGGGGATGCGTTAAACCTGAGCTTCGTCAAGCGACAGATCGGGCCTGTGTCCCTCTTGTCCTGCACAGCGGCCTGACGTCCCCCAGCGGTCAGTTCCCTCCATGGCCGTGTGCCCTTCCTGCTGTTCTCCGCCTCGACCTCTCCCAGGCTTGTCTGCCTGTGGAAGTCGCCCTGGGAACCACAGCAGCTGGACAAGCATAGAGGCGCGCTAGCCCCCACCTGGGCTGCCCTGGCTCAGGCAAACACGCTGGCCCCGGCTCCAGCTAGAGGCAAGAAGATCAACTTTCCCCACAGAAGGGCCTTCATGTAGCAGGATCAGGAATGTGACCCTGAGGAGAGACGTTTAACCCACTCAGGATGCGGGGCTCCTGAGTCCCAGGCTGGTCCCAGCCCTGCCCAAGTCTCTGTTTCCCTGCCCTCTGCTGGCCGCCCCGGGGGTGGACACCCAGCCTCCTGTGGCAGCCGGTGACAAGGGGTTTCCTGACAAGGAAGGCCTGTCTTTAGGCAGCCTGACCGTCCACCACCTGCTGATATCCCGATGTGGTCCCAGCTGCCAGCGACTCTTCTCAGTTCACTGCCTGCATGCCAGCCGTGCTTATGATGCCCAGAGAGTCCTTATTGGGATATGGTTCACACACAATAAAGCTCACCTGATTTAAGTGAACCAAATGTTGGCAACATGTGAATGCTTCCACTGTCCAGATCTGGAACCTCTTCATCGCCCCCTCCACCCTCCAGCAACGTCCTTCCTGCCTCTTGCGCTCAGTGCCACGCTCCCTGACCCTCCACCTCAGGACCCAAGGTGGCGTCCATTCCCCTTGTCTGGAATTTCCTGTAACATCAGTTGTGCAGCCTGGAGCTCTCATGAGGACTCTGCCGGTGTCCTGTGTGAGCTTGGCTTGTCTCACGCAGCAGGAGATCTCCACTTCCATCCATTTCCCGCAAAAAACACAATGTCATTCTCCTTCGTGACTAGCACTGGGGTGCATACAGACCACGTTTTCTCTATCTTTTTGTCGGTGGCTGTATCCCTAAGCTGATTCCACAGCTTGGCCGTGGTGAGCAGCTGCTGTGAACGAAGGTGTGCAGGTTGGTTTACATTCCTTCCATGTATGGTCTGGAGCTGGCACAGCTAGAGCACATGCAGTCTCCATCTAACTCGCGTGGTGGCTTGCATCACTTTAAGTCCTTTGAGAGCCTCCATACCATTTCCATAGTGTTTGAGAGATCCTTCTCCCTCACATCCCGCCAGCATTTGTTGTTTGTTTCTGTAGTGATTGCCCATCTGAGGGGGATGAGGAGGGATCTCAATGTAGGCTTGATTTGCATTTTCTTTAAGGCTGAGGGTGAGCATCTCTTCATGTATTTACTAGTGTTTGTACTTTGTCATTTGCGCATTGACTAATTGGATTATTTGGTTTTGTAGCGTTTACTTTTGGGAGCTATTTATTGTGCATATTAAGCCTTTATTCTAAGAATAGCTAGCAAAAGTCTCCTATTGTTCTCCATTTCCTTTGCTTTTATATTTGATGCAATTCCATTTGCTAGATCATGTTCTGTCTAACCAGTTGGAATCCTATTCAGAAAGGTTTTACCTATGCTATATCATGAAACATTTCCATTTTGTCTTCCCCTAGGAGTTTCAAGGGCTCAGATCTTACATTAAGACTTTAATTCAATTTGAACCTTTTTTTTTTTTTTTGGTCGGAATGGATCTTGAACTCTGGGCCTGGGCATTGTCCCTCAGCTGTAGCTCAAGGCAAGGGCTCTACCACTTGAGCCACAGCACCACTTCTGGTTTTCTGGTGGTTAATTGGAGTTAAGAGGCTCATGGACTTTCTTGCCTGAGCTGGCTTTGAACCACGATCCTCAGATCTCAGCCTCCTGGGTAGCTAAGATTATAGGCGTGGGCCACTGGTGTCTGGCTTGAGCTAATTTTTGCACAGGACCAAGAGATGGGGAACTAGTTCTAGTCCTCTACCAGTTGGTTTTCCCAGCACCATTGTTGAAAAGGCTCCTTTTCCACAGAATGTTTTTGGCTCTGATGTCAAAAGTCAGATGAATGGATCTGCATGGGTTTATTTCCTGTGTCTTCTATTCTGTTCCATCAGTCCTCGTATTTTTTTTTTTTTTTGTCCGTTCTGGGGCCTGAACTCTGGGCCTGGGCGCTGTCCCTCAGCTCTTCAACTCAAGGTGAGCGCTCTACCAGTCCTCATATGTTTTTGAACCAGTACCAGGTTACATGTTCGTAAGTAACAAACACTATGGCTCTGTCTCATAGTTTGAAGTCCAGTATTGTGATACCTTTAGTACTGCCTTTTCCCACCTTCAGATTGCTTTGGCTATTAGGGATCTTTTGTGCTCCTGACACCTGTTAGGATTGATTCTTCTGTTTCTGTGAAGAATGGCATTGTGATTTTGACAGGCATTGCATTGAGTCTGTAAGCTGCTTTTGGCAGTGTGGGCATTTGTTACAAGATAGATTCTGCAATATATGAGCATAGAAGGTCTGCCCATAATCTGGTGTTTTCTTCCATTTCCTTCTTAAAGATTTTTGCAATTTTATTATAGAAGTTTTTCTACCTCCTTGGTTAAGTTTATTCCTAGGCATTTCATTTTATTTATTTTGAGACTCCTGTACATTGAATTGTGCTCCTGAATTCCTTCTCAATCCACACATTATGGGCATATTAAAAAAGCAGCGGAGTTTTGTATGTTAGCTTTGCATTCTGCTAACTGATGAGGTATTTTCACATCTAGGCAGTTTAGGGTGCACTCTTGAGGGTCTTTTAAGTATGGGATCAGATCATCTGCAAACAGGAACAACTTGACTTCTTCCACCATCTGGCACCTTTGTGAGGGGCTCCCTAAGCGTCACCTGTGTTGTGGGCTGTGGCTCACTAACTCTCCTCCTTCCTAGAGCTGAACTCTGCATCGACTCAATTCTATTCTGTCTGATGTCCAATCGCAGCCTGCCAGGAGCAGGGGCTCGCTTCTAACCCCAGCTGTGCGGGAGGCAGGGATAGGAGGATCACACTTTGAAGCCACCGATCCGTGCAAAGTCTTCGCCAGACCATTTGCCAACACACTGTCTTAAGCTTAAAAAAAAAATTAATAGACTTGGCTAGAGAACCACGCAGATATCCAGGTACAGAGATGGCTGCTGTCCAAATAGTAGAAAGGGTCCTCCAGCTGCCCAGACCTGAGGTCACTCTAAAGGGCTCCTGTTGCCTTCTATGGGGGTAGCTGCCCCAGAGAAGTGCCATCCCAAGGTGAAGGGGGCTGGAGGCTGATTATTTACTGCCTTTACGAAGTGGGCCTGGTGTTGCCTAGGAAGAGAGCATGCCAAGCTGTGGAGAGGGGAAGGAGCGTGCTAAGCGATGGGAAGGGACTCATTTCACTGTTGCTGTCCTGACGCATGCATCGCTAATTCCGGTTCCAGAAGAGGCAGAGCCAGAAGGACTGAAGTCTGAGGCTGGCCCTGGAAAAAAGCACTAGATTTTATTTGGAAAAATAATCACTAAAGCAAAAAAAGTTGGGTGACATGGCTCAGTGCTTGCTAGGTGACCTGCTGCGAACTATATGTTAACGAGACTCCCAAAATTCACTTATATCGTTTTATTTTATACCAAATTACTGCAAAAGGTATTTTTCTAACCCCTACATGGATCTGGAGGGTATTTAGCTTCATTTTTATGTGAAAGGCGTTCACAGGCCAGGAGGGCGGTGCCTCCTTGCTTATCATTAATGAGCTTCCTAATGACCCAAGAGTTATTTATTAGCTCCCGCCCCTCCGGCCTTTACTGTTTTATGGCTATATTGTTTGCAGGGTGTACTTGGCACACCGGGTACTGATAATGACCCAGACAATCCCCAGTGTTCAGCCAATGGAGTGAGGGCCAGACCCTGCCTGCCTGGGTGGTCTGCATGGAGGGATCTGGGAAGCCTCGGCCTTCACACGGGTTCCCTCTCACTCTAGGACTTGGGCAGTGGCTGGAGGAAGGGGCCATCCGTGGATCAGGTGACCGCGGCCTGGATCTCCTCTCACTGCTGTGCCCACAGCCACGCCAGCGCACACGTACTACATCTGCCCGAAAGCCAGAAGTCTGATCCTGGACGGCGGCGCCCCTCCCCCAGCGTGGGGAAGGTCAAAGGGGGTTGGGGGGAGGGCCAGCACAGAGATGGTGCTGTGCAGATGAATTCCCACCACAACCTGCTCCAGCTTCACTGGCTTGCCCTATGTGTTTACCCTCCGCCCTTGGCCACACCGAGAGGCCGGATTTCCTATCCTTGGCCATCTTCTTCTC